TAGACATCGTCCGGGAAAATTTTGATGGTGTCATTTTGAATTATTTAATTTTAAACAACTAAGATCAACTAAGGGTATCAAGCCTTGTGACGTCATTATACATTGTACACTCTGCACACATGCAAAATACTTTGGAATATGAAAGAGATCCATTTTCTATCAATTTTCAAGATACACGTTGTCATTGGGGTAATTGCACGTGCACTACGTTTTGATTCTGTGATCTTCTGGTGGCCGTGTTGTTGCATATGAATAGATTTTGGAGTAGAGTGGGTGCAGTGGTTATCATGTCATGCGTTAGTCACAACCACGTGTTTGACATGTGGTGGTGACACAAAGATACACATTTCCAGCATCATCCATATCTGCACAAATTATGTTAATATTGTTTACAAATTATACGAACAGTAATTCTAGGTCCAAATCACACAGCCAAATGTATCGTAGTGGGCAGACTTAGGCATGTATTTCATGAAAAGCCTAGAGCTAGATTTTTTGATAAATGTCCTTATGAAGGTGCCACTTGCATTAATAAACTTAAGTTGGTTTCCAGTTGTGACCTCTGTTATTTTTATGATTAATCCCTCGGTTCTTTGAGAAATTACAGCAATTACACGATGTCCGAAATCAATCACAGCTACCATGAAGCATGGAACCTTATAAAAACGTTGACATGAAAACAACGCAAATTATTTGCATTCACATCATTACAATTTCTCCCGCCTAAAGACGTTAGATGAAAACAAACCAAGTGACAGACATACGTCATAACATCAACACCTCCATATATTTGATACTTCATGTAATGCAATAGTAAATATAAACACTGATCATATTACCAATGAGTGTCAACATAAAAGCTGTCTTAAATGTTTACAAGTCAAAACTTCATAAATTAACTTCAAAGTTTATACTGTCCTCAAGACGCAACATTGCAATGAAAGGATTCAAAAATCCAATTCTCTATATGTATGACATAGAATTGTCACTGATCTTTTCTAAAGTTGTGGTATATAGAGATAACTTAGAGATATGGCGTATTGTAGTTTTCTGAACATCTCAAAGCCAGTAATATTGATGACTCGTAACATTGATGACTTTTAAATATAACTTAATAAATAACTAAACAAAACAAAACCGCTTCAGTGTTTGATTTATATATCAATCGTGTTTAATATGAGCGAATAATTCGTATAACAATCTTTATTTGACTATAACGCTGTACGTTTTTTGAAATCAACGACGTGGAAACAACGCATGCGATAAATGTATGTTGAACCGATGCAAATACTCGTCTACACAAAATGTACAAAGACTTAATTTGGACCAAATTGTTTTGTGATGTAATGTCTTTCCCTAATTCATGCTGTATCTCGAGCGAAATGTCAAAATTCTTATTTGCTCAATACTTCAGTCCTTCATGAACTATTTATAAATTTGTCATTCCACTCTCGTTCCACCAAAATAATAATTATTCCCGCATATATTGAATAATTACATTCAAAATCATTGACTAATCAGGTTGCAAAACAGACCAGCCGAACCAAGAGCCTTTTTCGCTGACCATCCAACCGCGGAAGCAAAAAGCCCTGGGTACGAGGTTGGGTACGAGGTAACTTTTAAATTTCGTGCGCAAGCCATTTTAGTTTGTTGGAAAAGATCGAAACATTTCCTGGTTTACACAATCTGAGTTCGAGTACCTTTCATTATTCTACATTATGGGTACTCAAGGAATCTACATACTTGATACAACGAGGCGTTTTGCGAAATTGAGAGCAATTTCAAATCTGTTCAATTTTTTTATACACCCTGTATTTTCATATTTGAAATCATTATTATAATTATGCATTATTGAATATTTTTTACCACATCCAAAACGGCAGCATATGAGTTGAATATTATGTTAATCAGGCTGCACTTGAGCAATATTCTTAGTCGTCATGCATTTCGTGTGGAAATTGTAAGGATTGTTAATCCGACTGCTGGTCGTTCAGCTAACCTTTCGAACAATCTTGTTCAATAAAATTATGCAAGAAAATAATAATACACATGAACTTTTGTATTGTTTCATGACTTTCGTCTTCTCTTTACTTTCGCCAACTAAATGCTTAGCTGAATTACAATCCAAAGAAAATCAAAACACATGATTTTGTTCGCATTTACAGTAGCATAGCCAGCCCAACGGTTTTGTTCCGCTATGCAAATATTTTCGTGTTCATTTACTGTGAAAACAATCAATTTCTAAAGAAATGAAAAATGATAATAATTTTGAATTAGCATATTTACAAACACTCCGTGCATTTTTTAGGGATTCTTCAGTGGCGGGGCAAAACTGCCAAAGGGCCCATATTCCTTGCCCTTCCTCATTGACAGTCATCACTGATCCGCGTCCAGGCCTCAGCACGTTCTTGGTCGATCCATTCGTATTGTTGTTTTTCAACCACGTGTAGAAAGATGGACGATTTGGTTTGCGATGCCATAGCAAATCTACAAAATTGCTTTTCTGGTACCGAAAATACCTTATAGGAAACTAACGATGCACTTTATTAACGCTACATAGATTAACGTGTCATCTAATTAACGCGAATTGCTTTGAGTTACTTCTAAAATTGATTAAATTAACGCGAATCTGATAGTTTATGGTTAACAAGTTAATTTAATTAACGTGAGTCGAAGAAAATAAACACAACAGCAAAAGCGTAATACTATATATACTACCGATTAAAACTGTACGCAAGTTGATATGTCAAAACTGTAAACATTAAAGGTTAAAGTAATTTAAGCCAATGTATATAAAATATAGTTGAGCTTAAGGTTCTGCCGACAGTGACAAGGTTTAATACGATATAGTAGTGTATATTAGTATTTTGAGTTAAAAGAGTTCGTGTTTATATATCAAACAAATCAACGTCTTTTTAATTAACGATAACTAAAATTTGCATGCTTGAAATTAACGATAACATAAATTAAAATTAATTAATTAATTAATTAACGCGAATTTTTAAAATCCGCGTTAATAAAGTGCATCGTTAATTTCCTGTAATAAGGTACTCAAAAACTGTTATTGCGAGGTAAAATTATATCTTATCCCAATTGAAGAGAGGAGGTATAGCAGAAAACTCGTCCAGCAGTAATATCATGTTTGTGATGTTACTCTGAGCAACACCAACACACAACAAATAGAAATATATCATGTAGCCAGGCCACTATTTCACTGGATACGTATATACTAGTTCTTATTGCCTTGTTTTAATATACACAAACTAATTACTAACACTATATTACGAATTAATGCTATAAGGAAATATCATGAAAGACTTTTAATATATGTTTGATGTACTATATGTTTAGTATGCTTTATAACATAAAATTATTTTTCCCAGCGACGCTAATTAATCATAATCTGTCAAACACCAATGTCCGGTTGTGCGGAACATTACACCGTGACACAGTTGACCATGCACATAAATGGCAAGCAAGCATGTGTTTGCTCTCTTAGCATTTCTAACCAGGACCTCTACGTGCGTGATAAACGGGGGGGCATAAACTTTCAGCAATCATAGAAAAATAATTGCAATGGCAACCTCGAATCCCCTGACGAAAATCGGACGTCATGCAGCATTAAAAAACATGGTCTCGACTCCAAAAACGATTGAGGGACGATTTTTTCAATTAAGCCAGAATCATGCTTGAAAACATCGTAATGCTACGTTATATAAGGCAGAAAGCCAAAATAACTAGTTAACTGCCTATCCGGGTATCCACCGCACTAAAATATAGAGCAACCCATTGCATGACAATTTGATCTATTAATGCTAATCTAACCGTATGCCAATATGCCTCATTCTCCAAATAAAGACTTGCCTACATATTCATGTATCCGCGTATCCACTAAAATATAGAGCTACTGTACCTTTAACCCTATGACAATTTAATATATTAATGCTAAGTCACTGTATGCCTCGTAGCTACCTTTGCCACCATGGGATTTTAATCAGAGTCTATCAATCTATTTATTTATTACTAATCTATTGAGAATAAATATGCATGTATTATTTACTACATCGTAACCCAGTAAGCCAAACGACGTCGTTTCAACGTTGATTCGACGTCGCCCAGCGACGTCGAAACGACGTCGAAAAAGGTTCGAAAACGCAAATCGAATCGACGTCATACTATCGACGTCGCAACGACGTCGCGGTTTCGACGTCGAAACAACGTCATTTTCTCGACGTCAAAACGACGTCGCATTACCGACGTTGAAACGACGTCGAAAAAAGTTTGAAAACGCAAATCAAAACGACGCGAATGGGGCAGGGGAATAATAGAAAGGCAAAAAATCAGAAATGGACACATACAATTTTGTATAAGAAATATTGATTATCTTAATCATAATTACATATAAAAACTACTACACACAAAGTTATTAATTGATGCTATCCAGATCGTTATTACACACAGCGTGTCAAAAAAACGGTATTAATAATTATATTTAGATGAAAGTCAAAAAAACGGTATTAAAAATGATATTTAGATGAAATTCAAATTAGTTTAATGCATCGAACGCACTGCGTCTCCCATGGGTTAGGAATAAGGCAGAAGGAACACATATGGGGTACAGGGCTTTTTCAAGCATTAACACTAATTTGAATTTCATCAAAATATAATTTATATATCAAAGTTAAAATTATTTAACGTTATCGTGATTAATAGAAAATAACCATGGTTTGGAAGCTTGACAAAAGTCACTGTTCTATATATGTTGGTGTACGCTGAAAATTTGTGCACTCGGATTATGTACAACGAAACGATTGTCCAATTGAAAAGCGACTTCTGTGGCTAAACATTAATATTTTAATATTATATCAACGCAAGATAACATTTGTGCACTCGGAATCTCGTTTACCCAGATTTCAACATCAGTTAAAGTTTGAGTAAGTGACTCTTTGAAGTTTACCGGCCTTCCAAACCATGGTCGTTATTTTGTATCAACTATGTTTTTACTTTCTCCCGCTGCCACCTTTTCGATCAGGCGCATATTTTAAAATTTTTTTTATTGCCTGGCACACGTCGTCCTCCGTTCCTGTATGATTTTTCAGTACACTCTCTATAATAAATGAAAAAGAAGCGCTTGTAATTAGATTATAATAAATGTAAAATTAATAAATTCTTCCAAGGGTTTGCACAATGTACATATATAGGTGACATTTAGATAACGTTCGCATGAAAAATGTATGGAAAAATACATACGAATGCAAAAAGGAAACTGTACAAAAAACCCTTCCAAATAGCAGGAATCCATTCGTTTTAAGATTACAGGATACCCTTTGCGGCCCTACTCGGTGAATCGCCACTGCCTGTTTAATATATATGTATATATCCGATTTTTATCAAATTTTTATCAAACTTTTGTTAGTATATGTAAAATATTATACCACTGTTAAAAAACCCAGATTGATGTTCTGTAACCTTAACCATTGAATTACAGTAATTATTTTTTTACCTATTAGAATTTCGCAAATAGCTGTCTTGCGGAAAGCCATTTTCCCGCCGTTTCCGTTCATGTTCATTTTTGACATGACATCGTTATTCATCAATCTGAAGAAAAAAATTTAAGAGGTGTAAGTTAGCGGCAACTTAACTTTTTTTAATACAGTACTATACCAACAATCCAGTATAAGGTCAGGTAATTTCGAAATTATACTTTGTATTCCTTTCTTTGTTAAAGGAGGACAGCTAGTCATTGGAGCTCCTTCTCTCAGTGCTGGTATAAAAATTATATACATGTCTATCTGTTTCCGAACTTGTGTTTTTCCCCCTCAAAGTTCAGAAATCATTCTGATTTTAGATAAATATGACAGTAAATCTCCAGATAAATTTAAAGTTTTAGCTCAGAAAAATATTTTAAGGGCTGCCTGCCATTACTTGAGTATTCGATATAAACAGATATATGCAGTGTATTAAACATGTATTAAACATGTCTTAGACAATATTCTATAAACGGTACAGTAATACAAATACAGTAGACTACTATAATTCATAAACACATGCGCACCTGCTCATAATGTTCTTTGTGTTATCTCGAACAGATGATCCGCCAACTTTGGAAAGTCTCGATGTCTACAATTAAAGCAACAATCACTTATATTAGTTTTTATACCGAACACCAAACATAATTGACCCACATACAAATATTAAAAAAAAAGCAACTAACCATAAGCTTTCTTGTTTCTTCATCGCTTAAACTTCTCTCAATTTCAGTCAATTCCTCCAGCGTGTTTGCCTTTTCAAGGTGAAAATCTGAGTTATCTGGTTCACACCTTTTTCCAACCTGCTTGAGGCTATCCCGAATTTCCATAAGCAGATGGAGAACTCGTCTTTGGAAACCTACAGTGAAGAGAAAGGATTTTTTACTTTAACAGAAAAATGCACAAAGAAGCTACTACTCAATATATCTATATATACTAATATATCTATATATACTAATATATCTATATATACTAATATATCTATATATACTAATATATATATATATATATAACGTTTGTTATTGTACAGACAATATAATTTGCACTTACGCTCTTCAGGCATTGGAAATGTATTGGATGAGCATACTGTTTTCTCGCCGTTTTTTCGTCCAGCTACCCTGGGTTCCACAGACTGCTCTACTCTTCTTGTGTCTCTAGAATTGTTGCTGGATAAGCATTCCAATAATGTTTCGGTAAGCCCTCGAGTGTCCTTTTCAATATCTTGTTCCGTCCGTTCGCTGTTGGAAACCCGTGCGAGTATTGGCGAGGAAGACCGGCTTGGTGGTGTTGGAGGGCTGGGAGTTCTTATTCGTCGGAATCTTCTAGGTTGTGGTGACATACTTGGCGACCTACCCCTTTTGCGGGGTGCTTTTTTCTTCCCAGAGTTTGCAAGCAATTTAGGGGGAGATGGCAGTCTAGGTTTTTGTGGTTTAGATGTGGAGCCCTTAGCATTCTTGTTTGGTGGTTTTTGAGCTGATTGGAAATCTAGAATAATAAATTAAATAATTTTTATTGTGTTTAAAGCAACATTGCTATCCCAAGTTATTTCCTTAGTTCCTATGTCCATTGCTCCGGCTTAATCATACGAAGTATATTCAACTTACTCGCAGGAGAACACACACTCTTTCGATTGTGTTGGCTATCTTCCATTTCTCCTTGGCTTTCTTCCGTTTCTCCTTGGCTGGTTTCAGCTTCTTCTGATGTTGTAAAATCAAATGCGTCACACGTCTGTTTGTCATCTAATAGTAATTTAAGAAAATGTACTATATATAGAGATTATTTTATTGTCGACCAAGACCCTTTCCCTCACGACTAAATTTGTCTGCTGGGTACATCGCCCCTTATTATTAAAGATATTATAAAATAAAACTTGGTTGGTAAGCAATAGTATGATAATATATCCTGGGTAACACGGCTGAAAAATGGTCAGCTGGATTGAAAATCGTGGATGACTAAAAATAATTAAGGAATCACAATTATAGTACAGTCAAACCCCTATAAGCGGACACCTCTCTTAAGCGGACACCTCTTTTAAGCGGACAGATATCTCAGGTCCCATTTATTTCTTATTTTATTGCTAGGGGGATTTAAAAAAAATATAAACAAAAAAAGTGACCCCTTTGCTTAGAAACTCACCAGATTGTACTTTGATTTTGACCAATGAAAATCTGTGCCAGTTTAAAGATGGTTCTTGCTTTTCGTTTAGTGGCTTTAAAACATTCAATGACTTTGGCCACCGAACAGTTTTTCCCTGTACCCAGTTGAGAGGTATGACACCTTCTTCCTCTTTAGTGCTATCACCTTCAGTCCAGACAGCTCGTACCCACATATTGTAGACTTACAAAATCTATAAGGAGCAAAGTCACAAAGTGAGCAAAGGCGGACTGACCCACAGGAATACTGGGAAATTTCCCAGTGCGTCACCCTTCATGCACGCCTTTGGCGCTCCCACCTTGTAAACACAGTATTGGCCATCACGGTAGTTAACAGTGAATTGGGTTGGAAATGGCAAATGAACTTATAAAAAAAATTGTTTAGAGCAATTACACTAATCGTCTAGTCTATTATATCTTTTAAAAAATACCTATTTCCTAATAACTGCACCAAAATTAAAACTTTCGCTCCACTTCGTGATGAAGAGGGAAGATGACATATCCAGTGTTAATCGGTAAGCAGACAGCCTTGCGATGTAGTTCAGATTCTTCCACCAATCTCCTTTTCCCTCTTTCCTCAATTCTGCGCACCGACACAACTTTAAAGAGCTTTGAATCAGCTGGCCTGCAGTAGAAGCTCTCTACCTGACTTTCAGAAAACACAGTACACACCATCTTGCCATCATCTCTTTTTTCCTTGACAAATGCAAATTTGTCTTCAATCAAGAAACAACAATCCTTAAAATTTTCTGAGACTGTCCCTATCTTAGAAAAGTTTCTTTTACTTGTAATCTTCGGGCAAGAACTGGATATTTCAGCTACACGTTTGGCAACTTGCACAATTGGACTTTTACCACTTCTAACATGTTTTTTCAACTGTTGCATGTAATTCTCAAAAGGAAAGCATGATATTTCATTCAAAGAGCAGTTGAAGTGACGAACATCATCAGCTAAATGCAAAAGAGAGTGTACATTGTACACTGTGAAAGTATCACCATACACATGCTGACAGTTTCTTACAAAGAATTCCAGTAATTTTCTAGCATAATCCAAATAGGCGTTTCTTCTTTCACAATTTGTTTCAAGCAGAATAGAAATAGCAACAGATAATGACAGGAAATGCTCATATACTTCGTTTGAGACTATGCCCCTTAGAACAATGGGCCCAGTATAAAGCAAGAACTGGCGGAACTCAGTTGCTTTCCATCTCTCTACTTCAAGTAAAGAGCGAGGTTGCCTAGCAAACTCACTTGGCATTGCACCTTTCAAAAGTACCAGTCGAGAAGATATTTGAGTAATCTGCTGCGAAGAAAGCTTGCATATTCGGGGGCCCTTCCTGAGGAAAAACAGAATACGTTTTGTCACCCCAAGACACACCAAATGCATGTAGTCCAAGCAGAATTGCTGGACACAAGAAACTCCATGACCAATTAGTGGAGTGGGAGCTTTTTGATGATCCTCATACTGGCAATTGTCAAACTGTACATCAGTGCGAGATGCAAAATTGGACACAGAGTTAAAAACAACTCTACCATTCCACATTCCCTTAATGATGCAGCGCTCACATGCAAAGTAACCTGTATGCCCAATAATGCACTTTAGGAAACAGCGCGCAGGAGCATCGCAACAAAAACACTTCAGATGAACAGGTAACTTTTGCTCTTTATAAGAGATCCCATTACTTTGCAATTTATCAAGCTCTTCAAGAAAATCATGGAGATATTCGTCAACAGAACTTGGTTTGGATGGTCCATAAAAGAGTGCAATAACAAACACATCCAGGTTGTTAAATTGGCCTAATATTGGCCAGAACTGTTGACTAGATGACTTAAAAAGGGGAAGGCCATCAACATTAATCAAAAGGTCAATTGAAGCTATTTGGTCAGTAATTTTTGAATATTTTGACAAGTTCTTGAGTACACCAGCTTCTATCCCAAAATATAAATACTCCCCACCACATTTTGACATGACTGGTACACTCCTAGGGGTTTCTAAAAGAGTTCGAGCATCTTTAGGGAGATCATGCCCCTGTTTCCTCAAAATATCCAGGAGTTCGTTTAGTACACCATGCTGGCATGCATTCTTAGTTGCCCAAGAATTCAATTCTTGACGCAAAGTCAATTCAGAGGTAGAAAGCAATGGCACATCTTCATCAGTTTCGTTATCTGAATCTGAGACACCAACAGGTGTTATAAAGCTTTCATCACCACAGTGAAAGCCATCAGATGAATTGCTACTACTGCAGTTTAGTGCTGATTCAGCTAGCTCATTTTGTTGGGGTTGTTCATTATGGGGCTGTCCACTATGGGGTTCAAGTACAAAATCATTCTCCAAAATATTTTCATCATCACTGCTTTCTGCAGCGGCAAAGGCGTTTACTTGTGATGACAATCTTCTATAACTTCGCCAGTAAGCCATTTATAATCAATGGTGAACCTTAAAATGTTGAGATAATATTGTTTACTTTTTCAGTACTTGTCCTGCTTTTAAATTTATATCAGTGTATGAAGAAAGTCAAATATAAATGTTATAATTATTGACAGTCTTAAAAATATTCTTTGGGATATTTTTAACCTTTTTTGCAACTGTTCAATTTTGTTATGTGAAGATGTTTACCGTCAATTCTATTGGCACGTTGCTGTTACATGGTCTTAAAATCTTAATTAAACAAGTACCCAAAAATAGGCAGGGTGAGAAAGCTAATATTAGATGTGATCCTACTTAGTTGCAATCAACAGTAATGTAATAACAATTGTTTATTTAGATAGCAATAAATTGTCTTGGCAGTGATCATAGATTTCAAAATGATTTTGGGGGGAATAACGCCAGTACCCCATACCAATGTGTTAATCGCAAACTTTATGCATTAGTCACTGATATTGCTAGTTCAGCCGCTGTCTCACAGCTTAATTACCTTCCAATGAAATTTCTGCCACCACCAAAGTAAAAAATATACAGATGGCAAAAAAGATTTACAGTCTCAATCAATTTCACAAATGCACATAACTCCCACACAGGCATTTGTTGGTTACTAAAAGTTGGGTTGAGTAACAACCTTTTTTTATTTAAGGTTAAAACTAACATGTTTGTTTCTTGAAATCCAGTCATCTTACTGTATACCTTGACCTATTTCACCAGTTTTTTGTTAATTAACTGTGATGTTCTTAATGCTTTAGTCATTTGACACCACATGCCCCCCATCCCAGGGACATAGCGGGGAATTTAACACTGACCAAGTGTTAAAAAGCATTATTTCCCCCACCCCTTGGGCAAAGTGTTCCGTTAAAACCCATGTACAGCCGGGCTTCAGTATATCTAAATTAAACTATAAATACAAGACAAATTCTGCATCACGCATGCATTTGAGTTACCAGTCTTCCGCAACTTCCAGATTAAATTTCTGTCAAGTATTCAAAGTCGGTGTTTAAATTTAACTGCTTACTGTATATAGCTTACATGGCCCTACAACTTAGTCACCAAGTCTACCTCAGCTTACTGTGAGTTTTTTAAGGAGCGAAAGAAAAACTGAGATCTGAAAATATAGAGCGAAATGTTTAATAAGTGAAAAACTGTTAAGCTGCCCATGTTTTCTCTGACGTACAGTGCATTTTACTATATTATTCTAACAATGGAAAGGCAATGCCCAATGCTATTGAATATTAACAGCAACGGATGGCTGAGTAGGGACACACACATTATGCTCGAAAGTGTTCCATTATTTAATTCCATATTCCTTTGACTTTAGCCTATTATCCCTAAAATTTTGCTGCTCCCAAGTAATTGATCAATCGATTGCTTAACAATAATGTTATGCTGTTATGCTTAACGATAATGGGATCATCTATAACACAATGCAGCGTGATGTGGGAATGACTTCATTTCTTCCCGGATTAAAAAGATTGTGACAAGATTGCGATTGAAACATTAAATGACAAATTGATTCAAAACATTGTGGGTCAAATGTTGTTGTCACTTGCAGCGTGCAAATTTTGCCATGATCTGGTCGGGTTACAAGTGCTGCGAAAAATCTTTAAAGTTTATTTTATTAGAAGAATGTATTACTATTTGCGCCCATGCACATTGCGGCGTGCGGGCATAAACCAAATATCCATAAGAAACCGTGTTCAAATCGCAAATTTTAGTAAAGTTTAATTACAATTAAGGCCATGTTTACATGAGACCGGAAAAAAGTCAAACCGGGACCATTTCGTTTCAGTCATAGAATTATTTATAATAGATGTTTACATGAGACCGGGACGAAAATAACTCAGACCGGTCTCAAGTCATTCCGCCTGCTGGACCGGCATGAATTCATGGAACAACACATGCTAACAAAAGCCATCTGAAAAATAAAATTACCTGACAAGGGAAATAAATTGAATTTTCGTACCAGTGTCATGTAAACATGTTGACAATTTCAATTTTCATTTCGATTTGACTTCGTCTCAGTATCATGTCAACAGGGTCTTACAAACCTGTCAAACCACAATGGGCTTGCCATATTTAAATGAGTTATCAAAACAATTAATCAATATTACTCGATTGTTGACAACGATTAAGTGATAACAAAAATTAACAGATGAGAGCAGGTCTATAAAATTCCCTCCTATTATTCCCAAAATGTGTGTGTCCAAAATGTGTGTGTCCTTATGGCTGACGATTAAGTATAAAATATAAAGGTTCAAACGCATGTAACTGTTGAACAAGTTTTCGCAAGTCCCCGGTTATCCCCAGTGTATTCATATATGGTGGCTGTTATATCCCAGGTCAATTCCCCAGTTATAAAAACACTTAGTTAATTCAACCGCCCTTTGGGGCATAGCATGTTGTTAAATCGTGTTAAATCTCCGCTAAATTTTGTTAATCCCCCGCTATATTATGATTCAAATAACTGAAGCATAATACCATAGTCCATACATTTGAAGAAGTAGTTAAATCAAGCAGTCACACAATTGATAAATACTATTGAGATATGCAGTTGACTTGCATGTCGTAAAGTGTGAAATACAGCCTTTATTTAATTCTATAATCAATAAATTATTTTAAAATCTTGCTATATATTTTTGTCACAATGGCCCAATATTTACAGTAGTTGCATCACTAGAGTGTAAATTCCTCAATGGTGAGATTTTGACCTTGAGGGGCCAATTCCAAACATTTGCCAAAATGTCAAACGCTGGATGAATGCTGGGGGTGAGGGGCATTATGGAATTGAGGCGTATACATGAAAATATATAAATATTTTTGAAGCAGAAATTTTTAACAAAACTACAGCAAATTACATGAAACGAAACAAGTTCAACCAATTATAGGAACACAAATTATATAAGAAACTACAGTCGGGACTAAATAAACAAAGTGAAGTAGGGGATTGAAAAGGATGCGCTTTATTTACTAATATATGAAATACCAAACATGGCCATTTAGCATATTTTATATACTTAATAGCTATAGTGGCGATAAAACCCGAAATTTCACATTGGCACAATAAATTCACAAATTCACGATAACAAAATCTAATGAACAACTACCTAATAATTTTTCTAGGCCATTTTGGAACATCAATTTGAACAATTTCAGCAAGTTTTAAACGCTTTACAGTTTAGAGTTATACAGTGTAAATTTCAATACGAGCATGAATGATCACACATGGCCATCACAGAATATCCCGAGTTTAATCGCGTCTGTACGAAAAGAAAAAACATTAAATTACTGACCTTTACCGTCTGCTTAGATTCCTTAATCAGGATTTATCAGGATCTTTAATCAGGATTTCTGATAACACCCAACGATGCCGTAAAAATATAAAAATTGCAGCTAAAAATTTCAACTCTCTTCTTGTATTTGTGCGTTTCGAAATGACCGCAATGTCTATCCGCCTACCCGAGATGCACTACGCCGCTCTCGACTTTCTCCGTATGATGGCCGATGTTTGGCCGATGTTGTGCCGAGAATATGACACGTAATTAAAAGGCAAGCTCGAGATTTCAATGTTGATTTAAACACGAGAAAATATATAGTCCAGTTCAACAATATCAATGCAACAAAAATACCATCTCTAATTGCATTATTACATGACCTTCACAATACTGCTATAATATCCGCTGTTCGCGACGTTAAAACAAGGTCGAAACATCACGTCGAAAAACGACGTTGAAATGAAGTTGACATATATATGCAAAATTGTCGTCTCAAAAACGTAATTAACATTAATATTTCATATCAAATATCCTTATATAAGACCCTATACAATATCACAACAGTAATAAATATATATTCGTATGTGGTCAAAATTGTGTTTGTCATATTTTACCTGACGTTGAAACAACGTCGAAACAACGTCTGTTTTGAGACGTCGATATTACGTCGGCAAAACGACGTCGAAATGAAGCTGATATATGGTCGCCTCAACGACGTGACAAAAATTTCATATCAAATACCTTGTATGACCATTCACAATACTACAAAAACATTTTCCTATAATATGCAGTCAAATATTGTGTTTGTCCGATTTTACCTGACGTTGAAACAACGTCGAAACAACGTCTGTTTTGAGACGTCGATATCAGGTCGGTGAAACGACGTCGAAATGAAGTCGTTTAAAGGTAGATCGACGTCGCGACCGAAATTCAACCAAAATTCGACGTCGAAACGACGTCGCGTGCTTACTGGGAAATGTTCGGCCAAAAACCGCTTGGCCTTGAAAATTTGAAATACTTTTGTTTTACAACTCGAAGACGAAGTGAAAGAAATGGTTTTAGAACCGTTAAATCTCACAGAAAAGCTCAGGCTCAGATATATTATACAGATGTTTGGTAGTATAGTAAGTGCTTGTTGACTGCAAATTCATTTCTCTTTCGTTGCAAACTTTTCTGAACAATTTATGTTTTCAATGAACATTTTTTTTCGCTCTTGTTTCGGTTATTAATTCTTTAAAAAAACTTGTATTTAAACTAATTTCTATGTAATAAATGTTTTTTGCTAACCTATTTTTTTGAGAGTTTTTCCTTCTACTATTATCTTTCTCAAAGCGAATATTTTCCTTTTTTCTGCTTCGCAAAACTCATGTAGTTTTTGGACCGCCATCTTGTTTTTCGCTACTCGCCGTTAATGAGCTGATATACGGCGAGTAATTCAACCAATCAGATTGAAGAACAGCTCATATACGGTGAATGACTATATTATAAAATGCATTTGACACCTAGTTACAGGACAGTGTCTGACAAACTGGACAATTTAAAGGTATGGTTGCATACTGCAATTTGTTTGGCTGATTTCAGATGCATGTTAATAATCAATGATATTTGAAAAATATGTGGCAAACATCATCTGATGGTCTCACTGAAAATATGTGTCAACATTCAGCTAAATCTAAAATCAGCCCAACAAAGTGGTGTGCAAACGTACATATACAATAC